TTTTTTTTTTTTTTTTTATTTTGGTAAAAGGAAAAATCAGGAGGGGGGGGGGGGGTATACTGTATCTCTGTTGCCCTCTTTCCATTTTTTATATGTCATATACCTCTGTTAACCATGTTCCACACAAAAAAGGCTGTACAGAGATTTGCATATATTTCTATGGAAACCATGTGTTAAGGATCTTAAATTAGAATTTCAACTGTGCTATCTTGAGTGGCGTAGGAAGACCTGTCATATTTTTCTTCTCCTCTTGTCCGTGCAACTACCGAGCCTCCTCATGATTTTCTTAACTGGAATGCAATATTAAGACAACCCAATGAGGTCATGTACAAATGTACTTCTTAAACACTCATTTAGGATCATAGGCTGAAAGTCACAGGTGCTTTCCATTCTGCTGTCCAGAAGCAGGAATAATTATCAGTTTCCCTTTGCTGCCAAGTTTGTTTTGTTTGTTACGGTTTTTTAGTTTTGCAAATGCCTGTGTTCTTGGTTGTGCTTTTTCAGCTGGCAACTAATTTTCTTTTCTAACACTTTTACAGGCTTTGTAAAAAGCCAAGAGGGAGAAAATGAGGAAGGAAATGAAGGGGAACTGGTGGTAAAGTTTGTTGAAGCCCTTCCTAAAGTAGGTTGACAGGCTTTATTTGAACATAGCTTACATAATAACTGATTTAATTCATATCCAAACAATGATGCAGATGAACCAGTGAATTTTATTCCTGTCTCAGACCAGTATCAAAGATTCATTATAGTCCTTCAGATTACTGTGTAATAAAATAAAAATATATATACGGGTTACATAAATATATAACATCAATATAAAACACAATAATATTCCCTTGTTATAGGGGAAGAGTACTGATGTTCATCTTCCTATACTTTCTGCTCCTCCATGAGACGGTATCAAACTCAGCAACCTACCAATTGTTGCTACTTGCCATGTGATTCTAAAGTCTTAATCTGCAAGTAATTTGCTTGCATAAAAATCATCTGGAGCACCTTGAAATGTGAAATATGGAGGTCTGTACAAAAAGATGTAGGCAATGTTTCTGCCTTACCCACCACACATGGTTAGAATCTCTCAATCAGGGCTCTCTCTCACTTGCCACCATATGAACATACCATGGCATTTTCTCTGCTGGCTGCTCTTGGCCAGCTTGTGTGTGTGTGCATGCGTGTGTGTGTGTGTGTGTGTGTGTGCGCGCCCCACCTTTGTCTCATCCCCAGCCCATACCTGAGGCATCTTAAAGTCATTCTGACGAGCTTTCCTTCTTATCCCAACACCATTTTTGCCATGAATGCAAACTGCATGTTTCATTGACCATGTTATTACTGGTGTAGATAGGGACTGGGCTCTACTCAGGTCCCATTGGCAATGTTAGGCCCTGCAGCCACTGCCTATTACTCTCTAGAATCCTTTTGGCTTGGGCTGAAGGTGGAGCCAGACACATGGCTTCTGCAGAGACATCTGCCCACCAATACCTGATCAGGATTTTTCATAGTGACTGTCAGGTAATGCTTCTTTGAAAGACATTTCACTTTCTGAGCACAGGCTTACTATTTTTCTGAAAAAGCATTAGTCCTATGCTGCACTGAAAGTAAAATTAAACTGGGAAAGAGAGCTGGGTTCAGCATGCCTGCTGTTTTCATGATTGTGCAATGTATCATGGTTTTTTATGTCCTTTTGATGATGGTGGGGCATCATTTTACCCACTCCATTCTGTCTTTGGCAGCATGATGATGTCATGCCATGATGATGATGACTATCATAACACATAGGCCAATCACAATTCCAGGGTTCCAAAAAAAAAAACCCCATTGCATGAGTGATTTGTCTTCTACTTTCCCTCTAATTCCAGGAACTTAGATATTTTATTGTGCCAGATAAGCCACCTTTCCCCAGTCTGAAACCTTTCAAATATTTTAGACCAGAATTACCATCTCTAACTCTCTGAGACTGTATCTGAAGGGTATTAGTTTGGGAAGAAGTAAAATAGAATACAGAAAGCTTTCTCAGAGTCTTGCTTCAAGTCTTTATACTAAATGAACACATGGGTAATTAAATTGCTTGGAAGAACATGTTGAAATAAAATTCCAGCTGGTGTCTTTAAGAGGATTTCCAATTAAGCACTGCCAAGACAAATCTAGGAAGCCCAGTTAACTTCCTTTGTGTTACATTCCAGACTCCAACATTAACATTTGGAAAAAGCCCAATGAGTTTCTTCTCCTTCAATTCAACAAGATGTTTTGAGTGATGGACACCTATTTCCATCTCAGTCTCTTTTAGCTATGACACTGAACTAGCTCTACACCCTATACGTCTATACTTCTATACTCTATACTTCTAAGACTCCCAGCATTCAGTATTTCTTATATTTTTAAGTGAACAAATAAGTGCACCTGACTGAATTTGGAGAAATACATGCCTACAGGTATAGGATACAGGATTAGCTGAAGCTCACTGTCAAGTATATATGTCCTTCTGCCAGTATAATTTATGAAGTACTAACAGAAAAAAAAAAAAATCAGAGCAAAGGTACATATTTTGCACATATTTGACCAGGAAAAAATCCCTTGAAATCCAGAGTTCATTACAATTTATGTATGATGCATGTAAGATAGCAACTTCAGTGTAGACACATTCACAAGAAATAGATACTGCTTACTATTAGATTTCATAAATATATTTCTTCCTCTAGTTTTATTGAATTCTTGAATTTTCCTTGCAGCTGACTCCAATTATTTCAGATCCAGAATATCTGCTAGACCAACACATTTTGATCAGCATTAAATCTTCAGACAGTGATGAATCTTATGGTAAGACTTACACAAACATATGATAAGTTTACACAAATCAAACATCATTACAACTTGTTCAAGTTGTTCAGAGTGTAAAAGAGAAAGCAATAAAACATTTCAGATTCTAAGCTTTCTTTTTTGCTTAGAAATCTATTACAGTAGTGTCTGTAAATAAAATGCAATCTTACATATAGGGGAGAGGGTCTATGATATTTGCACAAGGAGTGGAAATACATTTTTCAGGAATTAGTATCTCTCATCACTGATAATATGATTTGTGGTTAAACTTCAAATTATATTACATACCGTCTGTAGTTTGCAGATTATTGTTTATGGTAATATAAGGAGAATACCAGTGTGGGAAGCATAAACTCTTCCACAGCCCCTGTTTTGTAAAATTCCTCTCTCCTGTGCAAGGACTTTAAAAAGAAAAAAAAAATCTTATCATACCAGCACAGTTTTTCCTTAAAAGCCTGCATGCAGATGAGGAGTAGGTGGATATTTTGCAAAGCAAGTAACTGATGGTGTGGAGGTAAAAATGTTTAAATCTCCCCATACCTGTGTGTTTGTGTTAGAATTGATCCTTTCCATACCTTACATTACTCTAAACTGAAATCAGAATCGCACTGAATGCCACATACTTAGACCTCCGAAGTTGACATTCAGTAGAATTTGTTGCTTCTCTTGTCTGGAGAGAGCAAGCTATATTTGTACTTCTAGTGTTTACAATAGCTTTTTCCGAATGGCCACTCTCTGAATGTATTGGGATTGCAATTTCTAAAATTCCTGGCCTGGTCTGCAAGGGAATTGTAGTCCCATCAGACTTAGAGGACAGCCAGTTCCAAAAATTGTTTACAACATGGCCAACTACTATATTGTAAATTGATTGCATTGGGCCATAGGCCAGTGGGAAATTATTTTGTATGATACCTACTAAAATGAATGGAAGAGTGTGAAAAGTCCTACTAAGGGCAGATCCACATTTTCTGCTTGGCCCAACACCAGTATGGGCCATTCACACTTCCTGAGTGTAAGAACAGATAATGTCATCATCCTCACACTCCAGCCTACTGCAAATGCACCCGTTTTCCAGCTTCGATTCAAAACTGCTATTTTCTGCCTAAGCTGCTTTTAAATTCTTTACAGCAGATGGTCTCCAGTACTACATTCTGTTCTAGTAACTGCCCCAGCCCCAGCCCCAGCTCCAGCTCCAATTGGCTGTAGTGCCTAGCACATCACCCGACCTCCAGCAGCTGGTCACTGCCTTCTGCAGCCATTTGATCCTGGGCTGCCAAATTGTCATGTTTTCTGCTAAAGAGCAGTTGCTGGGGTTTTTTTATCACCTTGTAGAGGACTCAACAATGGCCCATTAAGTCAAAGACAGTAATCGCTTACATCTCCAGTAGACATCCCTTCCATTTCTGCACTGCCCTTGTTTTCCCATTCTCTGCCCATAGAATTGCAAAACTTCCTTTCCCTTGCCTCTATTTTTAAAATATTTTTAAATTGAATGATAGAAATATTCTTACTTTTTTAATTAAGCTGAACTATTAGTTCTTCATTGCTAGACAGTTTCCATGGATCTTCAGAGGAACTTAGGAATGAAAGAACAACCTGTTCCCCATTGCTTTGATTATTGTAGTATCAAAGCAACAATGGTACCATAAGGACTAGTGAGGAGGAAACAGTTCCTAAAAGGAAAAGGCAGGACCTGATAGGCCAGTCCACCCAGGAGCCAGCTCATGAGACTTCCCTCACTTGGAAAGGGACATGATCCAGTGGAATGACCACTGGGGACTTGTGGTGTCCATAGTCTTGTCTGAGCATCAACCCGGCCCCATTGCCAACCCACTGCAGTCCAGACTGATATTTCTGAAGTTGTCTTAAGAAGCAGCCAGCAGCAGCATGGGAGATGAGCAGTTTAGGGTGCAGCATGAAATTCTCTTACATCTGACCAATGATACATTTACTTACTTCTAGTACTGGCCAGCAAAATGCCTCTGGGGAGCTTCCAATCAAAGGAATTAATCAGAACCATCACTAATCCATGTGCTTCTATATGCCTTTTCACATTGGTTTGCACTCAGTATAATTCTGTGCAAGTCTACTCTATGAGACTTAGGGAAGAATGTATAAGATTGCAACTATATTCCTGACTCTTTAGTTATATGTGAGCCAAGAAACGCCCCTTGCTATCCTATAAAAATCAGCTCCCTTACTGTTCTCTAGGTGAAGGCTGCATTGCCCTTCGAAGTGGAGCTGCAGAATCCCAAGTCCCTATCCAAACTGTGTTAACACACCATGGAGAAAAGACTGGGATCTTTCAAGGTGAATTCAAGCTACAGACATCCCAAGGGAAACAGAGAGAAAAATTATATGGTAAGCCAGTATTCCAATGCAGTCATGCTTTTGGCTAAGAAGGGCAATGTGCTAAGTCTGAAAGAGCTGCTTTTGTTTTTCTGGTAGCTACAACCAGCCAAAAATGGTTATGTAAGAGAGTGCTTATAAGACTTGTTTCAGAAACTAGTGTTTTTCCATTGCAGACTCCCTCTATGGTGCTGGGCAACTGACCTGGTCTTGTTTATGTAAGACATCTGTCTAGTTCAGGATATGACCTTGGCTGCGCCAGAGAAATAAACTGTCTTCTGGAATTTATGGGGCAAGACCTCATGTTTGCCAAAGACTGTGAGGGTATAAGCACAGCATATAATATGGGTCAAGGAAAAGATGTGCAGAGTGCTGGTGGAGGGAAATGTTTTGCTGTTTGTCATTTTAACATCCATAAAAAATAAACTTTTTAAAGGGTGGCCATATCATCAGGAATATGTTAGTAAGTCATGGAATTCACAAGTCTGACCTGGGCCTGATCCTGTGGCTTTAAACAATTCATGGATTTCAATTTCATCAGATCTCCCAACACTTATTCCAATAAGAGGGCTTGCCTTCTCTAGCAGGAATTTCACCTCCTGAGAAATCTCTGTGCAGAGAGCTTAGGTGTGGATGAAGCTTGTCAGAGTGGTGACATCAGAGTTGTATGCTCATTCCACAGAGACTGACAGGTAGCAAATATGTGAAAGGAAAGAACTATAGCTATTGAAAAGATCTTGGCATTAGAACATATACACATTTTTTAGAAATAAAAACATTCCCCATTATCAAAACAACAACCTTGGAAACATAGGGATGTACAGAATCTAGTTTTAGCCTTCCCTTCCTGCTTCCAAGCAAATGAGAGAAAGGGAGCCCTCTGCCTGTCTGTAATGTAGACTTTTCGTTGTGACACTATGGAGAGAGAAAGAAGATTTGAACCCTTAGAAAAATGTTCAGTAAAGTTTGAATTATGGAATACTTTACATGAATATATAGCTGAAGGTTAGATGTGGGAACAGCAATATATGATGGAAATAAACCATTTTTGTCTAATTCATTATTTATTGGAAGGAAAAGCCATAGTAGATTACAGTTTACAAAAAACAACACTCAAATAAAAGACACCAATATTAAGACGGGTGTTAAGAAGGTCTTTCAAAAATGATGTGTAAGAATGAATAGAATGCACAATGAATGGCTCAACATTGAGCAGGGAGGAAGAGAACATTCTATAATGTCCCCTTGACTGTTCAGTGTATTTCTGAATAAATACACAAGAACACTCGCTTGCAGTGAGGTGTTAGAGATACACAGTATTGGTTAGGGATGAGAATTTATGCATACTTTTAATGCAAATTATGCCATGTTGTTAACTGAGAACCTTAAGGATTTGCAGTGAATGTTTGTATGATACAATGAGGAATAAGTATCTGAATTAATGAATCAAAGATTAAAGTAATTGCATTTAATAGGGAATACACAGTGACAATTGCAAATTATACATACAGGGCAAAAAACAGAGCAAGTAGATGAATTTGTGCAGCTTAGTAGAATATTTACAAAAGATTAAGATGCTAAAATAAAATGGAAAATTTTTAAAACGTGCAAACACTAGTGGAAAACTAGTGGTAGTATGTAGTCTGTTGCAAGGAAAGAAGTGAAAATGGCTGTGTATAACAGCATGCCTCTTCTCACTTTGTATCATGGATAAAAGAATTGGGTGTGTTACGAAAAACATAAACGTATATTGAGTACAGTGAAAATATGTCAGTTAAGTGTGTGTGTGGTAAAACAAGATGAGATAGAAATATGAATAGATGATGAATGTAGATTGAATTCAGAAGTGAAGTAGCCAGTATGAAAGAAGTAAAGTGCAGTGATTTTGCCATGTAGAGAGAATGAATGAAGACTAAATCATGAAACAAATATATATATGAAAGAAGAGTGAATGGGTTGAGAGCAAAGAAGGATCAAGAAAGTTCTGACTGAATGGAGTTGATGAGATCCTCAAAAAGAGAGGTGAAAGTTTAAAGAACAAAAGGTAGTGAGTGAATTGGTATGCAGATGTGGTGAAAGCAAGAATGGTTTGCAAGATAGAAAGATATGGAAAAGTATAGTGAATGGGATTGGTGTAAACTAGATTTAGTTAGATTTCCATTTCTTTTCTTTTATATTCTGCCTTTAATTTCTTTTCCTCACTACTTCTTACTCTTTTTCTGCATTGTGCATAATGTTGCTTACCCAGATAGGGAATGTCCTAAGGAAATTTATGTATGGGTGGCTCCAGTCATGCTCCCTCTAAGGTGAATGAGAAGTTGCACAATCAGCAGTGAGAGCATCTGATTTCACATTGCTTTCCTCCTTCCCACTGTCTCAGGCAGCAGTTGGGCCTTCTCAGAAGTGTAGTGGTTTTATTTGACTGGTAGCATCCCAGCTGTACTTTTCTTATTTTCACCATGCAGTTCAGCTACAGTACTTGCCTTGGGCCTCAGGTTAAATATATGCTTCATGAATACTTTATGTTATTCAGTGATAATTATAAGTATAACCTTATAAAGGTATAAAGAAGCACTGATAACTTCATTTGGGTCTATTTGCCTTCAGATTTTGTGAAAATTGAACGAGACGAGACCACTGGACAAAAACCAATCAGGGGCTTGAGCAGTATGGACCATGCCAAAGAATGGGAACAAATCAGCAAGTAGGTTGAAGGCAGATAACTGCCTGTATGCAAACGTGATTGATATGTGGACTAGCAGCGACACATCCTCAGCAGAGATGGTCTGTAGCACAATATAGGCACGTTAAGAACTGGGAAAGTTGGTTCTATGGATTCTTACCTGGCAGATCATAAAAATACAGTAAAAAAATGTCAAATATTTTCTCTAAGAAAACCTGAGGTTATGACTGGAGAGTGAGATAATATTTTTTCCATATATTTTTCCATATATATATATATAT